ATGGGTCGTGCCGGGCCGAGTCGTGGGTGGCACAACCCGCTTGATCGTGTCGTGTTGTGCCGGCCTGTGGAGTTCAAACCCCATACCCAGCACGACATGGACCATTGTGCCAGGCCTGGCACGACCCATGGGCTGTCGTGCCAGGTCGTGTTGGGTCACGGCTCGACCTGATTTACACCTCTACTCTCCACCCGCCCTACTTAGAGGCCTCAACCCTATGTCCTGCTGCACTGCCATAGTTTCTCTGTTTCTGTTGTGTCTACGAAAGCCTTCATCAACTGCTCCAATAGGTATTGTAGTTGATGGTATTGCAAAAGCGAGACAGGTTTGGTTGTCCAATAGGAATTGCAGAAGCGAGAGGAGTGTCAGATAATGGAGAATGGAAGAAAAAGAACATGTGAGAGAGAGAGAGAGAGAGTACTAGATCCATAGCCTTCACCAGCACCGCCACTGCCATAGCCTCCACCAACATTGCCATTGCCATAGCCTCCACCTCCACCTCTGAGAATGGAGGTCTGAGAATGAAGCTGTATGGGCACAACTTCCATTCTCTCTCTCTCTCTCTCCCTCTCCCTCTCCTCCCATTCCTTTGTACATATTCCGAAGCTTTCAGTCCCTGAAAATTGCAGACAACTACTAATCCTCCACCTCCTCTGGAAAGGACTTGGTGCCAGAAAAAACCTGGTGACACTAGTAAAAGTGGTCGGATACAAATGATGACAATGGTGGCGATGGCGGCAAAAAGACAGGGAGTGGAATGGTTGTAGAGTGGTTCACTGTAGTTGCCGTTGGGGAGAGGGATGGTGAAGAAGAAGGGAGAGACAAAGGGCAAAATTGGGTTCTAAAGAAAATTTATACACCATGTGCTGTCACGTGTATATGAATTTCAACGAAACATTAACGGATATTAACGATAAGGATAGAGCTAGTCAAGTGTCACAAAACTTAAAGATACGACAAGACAATAGCTAAACAATAAATGCGTGTCAATTTTGTGAACAATAAGGATAATTTAAGAGATTTACCCTTAATATCTTTTCCTTTTATTACACAAATTCACTCCTTTACTTACACAGACTCAGAATCCAATAAACCACGTTGTATATTATATTAATATAAATCAGAAAAATAAATAAATAACGTCGAAAAAGATAAAAAAAAACAAGTTGAACTGCCCGAACCGGAACCTTTCATAGTTTCTATATTTCAGGACTACCTTGCCTCTTTCATTCATTTCGGATTCGTCGTTATTCACGTTCAGATAACCTTGGGTGATTTTGTAATTTTGGACCAGACCTGTTAGCTTTCTGCATCATCAGGTTATCAAAATTAAATGCTTGACATTTCAGATATTTTCTCTGGTCGATTAGGTCTAATCCATGTGCTTAGCTCAGGTGGCACGTGCATAGAGATACCATGCTGTTCTGATCAAATGATCCTGACCATTCGATCCTTTTATGGTTCTTCTGTCAGAAGAACAGTCTTATCAGGTCGATATATATTTTTCCGACCTTCCCTTGGAGACCTCCCAGGAGAAATGACAGAAGTGATGCATGGTCACGAGGTCGAGATGTCACAGTGAGTGACAGTAGAGAAGGATTCAAGGGTAATTGTGTAATGACAGATCAAAACAAGCAAGTCTTATAGGCCAGAGAAATATTGGTATCAGTTGAATGAGCCAGAGCTTTAATCAGAAAGCTGGCAATTGAAGTAAATGCAAAATTCTGCAAATAGACCAGATGGTGTAATGGCTAGGCAAGGGGTAAAAAAGGTGCAGATGTTTTGGGATTGTAGTTAGAAATTAGAATGAAAGCTTTGGGAATTGGTCAAGTGTTATTAATTGAGGCTTACCATTCTGTCACTGATAACGCACTTTTAGCCTTTGAAGTTAATAAAATTTTCACTCTTACCGATAAAAATAATTTTACTCATTTTTCCCTTTAATATAAATAAGCAAATGGTCTAAATACAATTTTGAAGAACCTGATAATCAATCAAATGGGTACCATCCAATTGGTATTCATTCAAATTTACATGGATGTATCGTCTTATTAGTTAAAAGTTTTTTCAGGTACCAAACCATACATTTCCAGTTTCACAGAAAAACTAGCTGGGGCTGGAAGCACTTTTCTTGATGCTTTCTTTGGTTCCGATCAAATGTAAAAAAAACTCCAGACATTTTGTGACAGATTTGAAGTCATATCTCTCTCTCTCTTTTTTTTTGTTTTTAATGCTGACTTTCACTTATTCTAGGGTAAATTAGAGAAATCCACCCCATGCTATAGGGGCAGTGATTTTTCTGCTGATGCAACAAAGACCCCCTTCACTTTCTGATTTCAGCACTTCGCTCCTGCTGTTAGCTTTCTGAATATTCTGTATTTCTGTTAAACATTTCTAAAACCTTAAAACTATCCCTTTATTATTTTTTTCGGATCATTTTGCTGTTTTAGCTTTAACTTTTCTAAAACCCTAATTACATGCAGCCACATGTTTTCTCTCAGATTTTTAACCAAAGTTCTTTGTGCCTTGATGGCTATTTGCACGTTAGAATGGTTAGTTTCATCATTTTGATATTTATTGTCAGTCCATTTAAACTTAAATGGGCAATTTAGTAATTTTACTTTTACCTCAACCCTATTAATTAATAGGTCAAAGGGTGAACTGCTGAAAACTAAAAGTTCAGGGGCCTTTTTACAAAAAATATATATGTTCGAGGGCTAAGTGTTACCACTTAAATACTTAGTTACCACCTCCAGGATGGCCACCTGCATATAATTTGTAAAAATAACTAAACCAACTCTCCAATCGATCTCCATCTTTCCACCTCGAATTTGTAATGAAAACAATGCAGCAGACCAATTCCTCCACTGATGAGTCTGATGTTACCCATAAACCTACCCATAGATTAAATTTGTTCCAATTCAATCTGAATCCAACAGTTATTCAAGCCAAGATGTTCAAATGCAATCCAATCTAGGGCTGGCATTTATCCAAGTGGCTAAAGCCTATAATCCAATCAAATCCATTGGATTTGAACAAACCCAAATCTAAACAGAAACACACCCAAAAGCTTCTCTTTCATTGTATCGGGTCAGCCACCGGTTCAGAGGATAGTCGGGCTTTAAATCGATCCCTCTGAACTGGTTGTGGAAAAAAAATTAAAAAAAATGTAGGACGATACGTCCTACCGGTGTATCAGCCCGTGTTGATATTTCAAACCTTGAGCTGAATTGATCAATTTGATTTCAGTTAATCAATATGAAAAATCAGTGGTTAATCGAACCGCCCAGTATATATATATATATGTTATGTATTTATTTATAATATATATAATACAAATATCAAACAAAGCGAAAAATCGAAGAGTGAAACTGATCAATCAATTAATCAACTGGTTCCGGTTCAGTTTTGATTTCCGGTTTTCTACATGATTTTTAAAACCGAATCGGTCAGGGGTCCGGTTATCGGTTTGAACAGTCCGACCGTTCAACCCAAACAGCCGGCCTGTTCTGACAAAAAAATTAAAAAATTAAAAAAATTGAAAAATGATCAAAAGCGCTCGAATGGTTCAAACGGTTCAAACAATTAATCAGCCGGTTTAATAGTTTGCTGACCAAAATCAACAATTTTGAGGAAAAAAACGAGTTTGGGGAAAAACGGAACAGGTCAAATGACCGATTTCCAATTTTTCCGGTCCGGTCAGGTTTTGAAAACCATGATTTTCCAAGAACTGGTGGAAAATAGGTACACAATTCAGTTAAAGAAACCATAAACACCCCCAAGTACAGTTGTATGATTTGAATTTGAAGTTTGGTTGTTCACATCAAGGAAGTATAAACTCAACGATTTGGATTGGGTAAATGGATGCATCAAGTCCACAAGTATTAGAGATGATTTTGGCTTCCGTTTGGAAATTGAAACTACTGTCTACCAAGGAGATGATTCAATGAAAAATAAAAGCTTCCGATCAATAAAAGTATAAAACCTTAAGAAAAACAACGGTGAGATACCAGTCATTAGAGAAGTCTTGTCCCTCGATCCCCAATGAGCACCCATGCAGCAGTACAAATATTGTCCTCCACAGAAGCATCACAATAGACATCTTAGGTATCAGTAAGAAGATGTTCATCCACCACCACACTTTGCAGCAAGTTAGTTTCCTTATTATTAACTTTACGCTGTGACGACATCCATTCCTCACAGAAATGAGAGGTACCTTGTAACACATCCATAGTTCTGTTCTCAACTTTTGATTTCTCTCTTATTTCTTATCAAACTAAAAACATGTTCACTCATGCTTGGAAAAGAAATTTTAACCTGAATGCACACTGAATTTAAACAAGGAATGAAAAAATCATCTAGTTTTTAAAACCGACCCGAACAATGAACCAATCAGGGGTTCGATCGTATGAACTGAACGGATGGCTCATTCTGACCAAAAAGTAAAAAAAATTAAAACCAGCCAAACCATTGAACAGTTCAAAAGGTTCAACCACTCTGGTCAGCGATTTGCTGGCTAAATCAACGGTTTTGGGGTAAAACAGACCTGATCAGTTCCCGGTTTTTCCAGTCCGACCATCCGGTTCGGTCCGGTTTTGAAAACCATGATCTAGAGTTTGTAAGCATAGAAAATCTAATTTTAAGTTATAATGTCTTTTGGTAATGAAATTGGAGACGATTGCATTTTTTGTGACTATAAACTTTGAAAATATTGGATTTTAATCTCATTAGAGATTAAATCCAATGGGGGTTTGATTGATCAATTACATGAAAAACGCACCTGCACACATGTCTTGAAAAATAATCTTTTATCTTATTAAAACCAATTTTAATTTGTCCCACATTGAAAAATTACAAGACTTGTTTTGGGTTTTTAAATAGTAGCTCATTTACACTCCTTAGAAATAAAGAGGCGAGTATGGAGGCTTGTTACTGTGCAATGCATGCGCACCCATGTGTGCCTCACAATGAGGCGCTTTAAAGGCACACTTTACTCGTGAATGGTGGATTTGATTTTTGGTGCGAAGCTGACCGTTGATGTTTTCAATGGCCATGATTCGATTAGGTGTGATCAAGAGGAACAAATCAAAATTAACAGTCATTAATTGTCAACTACCTTTTTAACAATCACAATGTTTGAAATTGTGACTATTCAAGGAGCCTTTTCAGAACCAACACCTTTCTCTGCTCCAGTCTGATCTGCTACCATAGCCCAACAGCAAATCCAGTGGAACTGAGTAGGGGCAAATAACGTTCCAAAGACAGTATCTTCAACCCCAATTCCCAATAGAAAATTGAGATAAAAATTGTCAAATGAAGGCCTTTAATCTTTTCTGAAATTTGAAATTTTAGGATTATGTTCCCTCTCAGACAATTTCATTTTCATGATATGGATTAATGGATAAACCGCCTGTGGTTCATGTGATTGATACAAGAGAAATTCATTAACCCAGTACTATATTTTACTAACCGGAGTTGAGGTCGGGTTGGGGTCAACCTTAACCCAACTGGAGTTGTTGAACCCCAACTTCATGACTGTTTCAGACTAGGTTGGGATCGGGACCAGTCACTTACTTCATTTCAAATTGTCAAAATGTTTTTATTTCTTAAACTTCATTTGGTGATTTAAGGTTTATGAATTTGAACATATATGTACAAATAAGAGTACCATACCTCGAGTAGAAATCTTTTGTCTTCAAATTTAAAATTGTTTATACATATATACATACATATATACACAGTAGATATTTTGCATGTATGTATGTATATAAATACATATCTACTAGTAAATATGTGCGTGATAATTTCAAATAATAATAAGAATTTTCAGTGTTCAGGTAGATTTAAATTTTGTATTTCCATTGTTAATAAAATTGCTTCTTATGTATCATATTCATTTTTGCTTAATATTACAAATATATAATATTGGAGATGTATATAAATTTTTTTAACAACTTTTGTATATTTTATATTTTTATTTCTGTCTATTTTTTGAATTTTTATGATGTAATTATGACATCATGTGCTGCCTATTGAATTTTCATGCGCAGCTCAATTGCCCCAAAGCCAAGGGTATTACTAAGTGAAGACAATGAATATGGAAACCCATTAAAAAATAGACAGAGAAGTTAGGTAGATTGTATCACTCCACTCAAATTTAAATATCCATCTGCATCTATATAATGTAATCTATATAACTATACCTTAATACAATACAAAACCTAAGTAGAGAATCATTCCATTCCATCAAATATACGTTTTAATAATATCACAGTTGGTCCATAAAAATAGGTTTCATATGGGTAATAAGTAATGACACATAAGGAATCTCTAGGCTCTAGGAACTCACTCCCTCTAATTACCTGCCACGGTACCCACATTCAAGGATCAAGCCCCACCATCCGCACATTGGCCCTTGACAAATTACAGTTCGCCTAGAATCATGGGCTGGTCCGAATTGGTCCCAGAATCACATAATAGCATTGTGAGCTACCTGGGCCCAGGTATGGTCAGGCATCTGGGCTTTCMCACATAAGTAATTTCCGGTCCTATGATTTTAGGAACTGGGCCTGGGCAAATGATCATCCCGAGGAGAAAAGATAACATAACATGTATTGTCCATCAGAGAAGCAACCAGAACCACTGAACCGGCCCTAAAACGTAAGACACATGCGAATTTTTTCTTTGCAAGGTTATGGGTTACCCATTAGAAATTTCTTGGTTCTATATTTATGTTATTCTTTCATAGCATAGAATTGCTTTGCTTAGAGGCCAATTAATGGAGATTTTATTCCAAGATGGAAAATTTGGATTGCCCTTGCACTTGCAAGGAGATCACCATCTCTGCAATGCATGACAACTAAGGATATACACTTTTTAGAAATAAATATAGAACAATTCAAACCCAGAGCAGCCAACAAAAGAATAAGTCTCTTTGAAGGAAAACCCACAAGGAACAATGGAAGTGTATATAAAGCAACCAGAAAACCTCTCATTCTTCATCAGCCAAACACTAATTTGACATCTAGCCAGAGTAGAGACAGGGGAAGAAACACACTAAATGTTTACAATGGGTTCTGAGGTTCAAAATAACCAAGGATACTCGTACCAAATTTTCGTTCCCTCTTACGAATGGAAGACAGAGGAAGACAAAT